GAACAGTTGATGAATGCGATTCGCTGCCTCATGATATTTTTTCGGTTGAAAATTTTGCTATATCGCTGGAACGTTATCTACTTGGTGATTAGAGTGTTTAAATGTGCTAAAAACTTTGTTTCTGTTTCACAGACATGTGACCTCTGTTAGCGTATGGATGGATATATATATATATATATATATATATATATATATATATATATATATATATATATATATATATATATATATATATATATATATATATATATATATATATATATAAATGCTGGTCTGCAGTGTGTCTAAATAAATAAAGAAAATATTCAGCTCATACTTTATCATCTCGTGCGCACCTTGGCAATCGTAGAAAATGCACAACGATAGTTTGCTTTTGCTGCGAACAATTACGTGCGATGACACAGCTTCTCGATCGCGCTTTTTGCGACTGTTGGGATTCGATTACCCGAATGTTTGTTGGAGAAAACAAATGACCGGTGGAATAGAAACGGCAGTAATCGACACTGGTTTCCATAAAGGCATTTATTTAGTTTTTTTGTTTTTAAAGGGGGGATTAACACACAAAAACCATGAAACAGATGTGGTCCATCGAAAGAAGGATATAAATACAGAGGTGCAACGCAAAACGAAGCTACAGCACGGTGATAGCGAGTGAGCCATTTTCTAGGAGACCATGGCCACAGTCGTTTTGGTTATGCTTGCATTAGCATGTATTCCATTCCCTAATAAGAAACTACATTATATTTTATACCAGTGTCGCATGGGTACTTCTGACCGGGATCAGGCAGTCCAGATAGGATTTTTCGGTCGCTATCGACGCGCAGAATGTGACGACGTTCCTTATGCAGAGTTCTTCCTCTCACAAGTAACCCAATCTTTGACAAAAATGTCAGAACACAATTCTAAATAATCATTTCCTTATGATTCTGTTATTGTGGTAGATGAGTCACTGTTGGCGACGCTTAATCGTATAAGTGGTATTAACCTCGGAGCAACCCTGTGCTCCCACAGCTTACGCTTCAGCTATCCGCACAGCACGCGGATGATGCGGGGAAGGCACTACGTCCACCCGCCATGATCAGGGTCCAGGCCGCTGGATAAAAAAGCGCGCTTTTTCATCGGGCTGTGCTAGGGCCATGCACACATATGTGTGCATCAGCGTGATACTAAACCTGGGCCGTTTTTTTGCGCCCCACCATTCGATCGAGTGGTGGCTCACGACACATAGCCAAGATAGATGGCTAGATTGATATGGCTATACCCTTTAGATTGGGCGGTGGCTAACGTCACCAAGCCGTAATACTTAGAGAACCAAAAAATTAGATTTATTTTTTTCCTTTAAATAGTGAGATTGAGGACTCGTACTTTGTGGTGAAAAATTTAATTTTCATTCGTGCCTTGACTTTAGCCACCAATCAGATAACCTCCTTTTAGTTAATTCTACCTGCTTAAAGTCTATTTTGCCATCCCTGTCCCTAAACGCTAGTGCTTTGAAAAACTCTGCGCCATCTTTCTGAACTATAGGGTGAAGCCCTTTACAGAACATTATCAAGTGTTCGATGGTTTCCTCTTCCTCTCCACACGCACTGCATACCGTGTCTACTTCGTATTTGGCCCGATATGTCTTGGTTCGCAATACTCCTGCCCTGGCCTCAAACAGTAGAGAGCTACCCCGAGTATTATCATAGATCCTTTCCTTGGCAATTTCCTGCTTAAAAGTTCGATAGATCTCTAGTGCGGACTTCTTAATCATGCCAATTCTCCACATATCGGTCTCAGCTTCCTTCACCTTCTTCTTAACCGATAATTCTTTTTGGTTTGGCCCCCTGCTGTTTTCTAAGTATTTACCAGTCAATTTTCTGGTTCGCTTTTTTCCTTTTGTATAGACATTCTTCATGTATAAGTAGCTGAATACCCTTCTAGCCCTACGCTCTTCCCACATTTCTCTCAATCGCTTCTCGAATTTTATCTTGCTGCTAGCTGCTCTGCCCTCAAATGATGTCCATCCCATATCCCCTTGTACTCTCTGGTTTGGTGTATTCCCGTGAGCCCCTAGAGCAACCCTACCTATTCCGCATTGCTTAATTTCTAATCTTGCTTGAAATTCTGATCTCATGCACAAGACCACATTGCCGAACGTCAGACCAGGAACCATGACCCCTTTCCATATTCCTCTCACAACATCATACCTATTGTAATTCCACAGTGCCCTGTTTTTCATCACCACTGCATTCCTGTTACCTTTAGTCGTTACGTATATTTCGTGTTCCCTTAGGTACTCGGCCCCATTGTTTATCCATACGCCCAGATATTTGTATTTATCTGTTGTTTCTAGCGTGACCTCCTGTATTCTAAGCTTACTACCTTCATTATCATTAAAATCATGACTGCTGATTTTTCCTTACTGAATCTGAAATCTAACACTATCTCCCTCATCACCGCAGATGTTCATAAATCCCTACAAATGTTCCTTGTTGTCGGCCATTAGCACTATATCACCTGCGTACGTCAATGCTGGCAGTGCCTGTTCAATGAGTTTTAATTGTTTGACAAAAGAGAGGTTAAAGCCAAGTCCGCTTCCCTCTAATTTGGCCTCTAATCCTTGTAGGTACATCATGAATAACAAGGGTGACAGAGGACACCCCTGCCTAAGCCCCAGTTTTACCTCTGCAGGCTTGGATACCTGTTTTTCCCTCTTTATAACTGCCTTGTTACCTTTATAGATATCCTTTAAAGATTAGTTGTCAAGGGGCTTTAGCGTCGCCTAGTGGAGGAGCGGGCATCGAGGCACTCAAGCGCATGACCTTAGAGATTGCAGACGCTCGTGTGCGATCTCGGAGGCCATATCTACCGTCGCCAGATCGTCACGACGCGGCGGCGCGCGCTCTCATCTCCCACGCGTACTCTACCTCGCGGAGAGGGGACGCTCACGCGGGCACTCGCTTATCTCGCGGTGGAGACAATCGTTCGCCTTCGGTTTTCACCGGAACGATATTCTTTTAGTTACAAGGGGGTGGTTACAGCACTCGTTGCACAGTCTCTGCAAAAAGGGCACGCTTTTCAGACACAGCTAAATAACAACTGAGACACTCCGTGATGACGTTTCGTGCGTAGTTTTGTGCAAAACGTCATCACGAAGCGTAGTTTCATGCGTAGTTTCGTGCGAAACACGGCCGTTTCGATCTGCTTGCCATTCTTTGCGTGACCTTCTAATATGTTGCTATCGCGTTCATTGTTTGGTCTTTGCGGCAAAGTTGTGACGATTTTTCTTTATAAGCTACCTAAAACAAGTGTTCCGTGTCTGTGGTCCAACATGCGCAGCGAGCAAGTACTGTGCATTTTTACTTTTTTGTTTAGGAGCTTCGCTTGTGAAACAAAAATTTTGCATAATGTAAATAAGATATAATAATTCAAAAGCGTCATCACATCCCGTACAGGGTTCACACTTTTTGGTGTGTGTTTAGAGTGCAATTGTGTGGCGGGCGCGCATAGACCTCGGGGAAGGCTCCTGGGCCAGGCATGGGACTCCTAAAGAAGAGATAGCAGGAAAGAAGGAGGAGCCAATATGGTGAATCTGACCCGATTTTTCGGTCCTATAGCGAATGCAATGCGGCTAGGTATGCGACACCGGTTAATACGGGCATGATTCGATCCAAATCTGAACTTTCACATTTGCAGCACTGTACTTCACGTTAGCCAATGAGTTTTTTAACGTCGCGTTTGAAATTTAAGCAGCTGATTATCATAATAATATGGATGCATAGAACATGATGGACAAATATGAAGCTGCACGGTACTTCCACGAAGAGGCTGCTGCCAGAGCTTGATTCTGTCTCTAAAGTAATTCGGCTATGCTGCCTTTTACACAACATAAATAGCGAAATAAAATAGTTTAGTTTACTCCTTGTGGACCGAAGTACGGAGGAGGGATAAACTTTATTATAAGAAACCAGCAGGTTTAGGTGGCTGGGCCTAAGCCTCCCATGAGGGGACGTCAAGGGCTTGCCTCGACGCCGCCTCACGGGCGTGCTGGGTCGCCCAAGTTTGGTCGTAAAGAGCGGCGCTCCGCAGAGCCTCATGGAGCTTCGACAAAAGTGTCGTGGCATTAGTGTGTCTCTACTGTGCCGGGCACTCCGACAGCATGTGCGGAAGCGTAGCCGGGTGAGTGCCGCAGCGCCGGCAATGGGAGGTTGTGTACACGTCCGAGAATATGAGGTGAAAGCGGGCAGGTGAGGGATACGTGTTTGTTTGAAGTAGATGCAAAGTGGTGGCCTGTGCCCGGTTGGGCTTGGGGTGAGGTGGGGGAAAGGCTCGGCGTCTGAGGTAAAAGTTCTTAACCAGATCATTGCAGGCAGTCATGTTGTCCCTGGCGTCCATCTCGTCTCCATGCAGTCGCTCCAGCGCGGTTGACAAGGCCTCGCGCAAGGGAGTGGGTGACCTCGTTGAGGTTGGGGAGGCGTGGGTGGACTGGGCCCGCGTGAGCGGGGATCCATGTCAGGGTGACCATGTTTTTTTTTTGGAGTGTGGTGCCTGGCAGAGGATGCGAAGCGCTTGAGGAGAAATGCGGTCTTTGCCGTAGTTAGTGACGGCTGAGCGAGAGTCGCATACGATGGTGTCACAGGTAGGATCTAGAATGGCCAGGGCGATGGCTACCTCTTCAGCCGTCTCGACAGAGGAAGTAGTGACGCTGGTTGCGTGGTGTAGGACTCCATTGCGTGTGGCGACAGCTACAAAACGTGTGTTTTGAGGATACTGAAGTACGCACGCAAACGCATAAACGGTGAACCACCCGCGCGACCTACGCGAAAAGATCACGTGACGTACTTTTTGATTTTGCACTGGGAAAAAAGCATTACGCTCATGATTACGCTTGTCTGCGGCTTGCAATTTGAACACCTAGTCACAGCGTATAAAACATTGTATAACGTCTAAAATGAAGAAATAAATAGAAATAAAAATTGAGTACGGTTGTACAAAGAGAATCCAAGCCAAGACGAAACTAGACGGCATAAGCCTTGGGTGTCCTGGCGTTTCTGGGCGCTTGTTTTATTAGTTTTGTCCGCCGCTGGCGGGTTCACTTGTCTATCGTAGGTTTCTAATCGTAGGTAAGATACTTGCAACTATGTTTTAAGAGAACAAATATCTTTAAGTTTCCACAATACTGTCAACTGTTCTTGCCAGGGCACCTTCAGAGAGGGAGCCTAGGCTCCCACGAACGTAAGTAAACTCTCTTTGAAATCTGTGAAACAAAGTACCAGGATATTGCTCTTCCTTCGTTCACGACTCCTGTGCCCGCAGGAATCGAGATGGATCCAGCACTTCTGAAGGAACGGGATGCGTTCAAAAAGAGGGCCATGGCCACTCCTGTGGTTGAGGCCCGAAAACGCGACCGCGATTCATCAGCGGCAAATGCGGCGTCGCAACCAAAGAAAAAAGTGAAGCCACCGAAGCCAAAAGGTATACTTAACTAGCAGGGAAATTCGCGGCATACCGATAGGTATGCCGCAAATTTAGGGTGTTGCTGTGTTCTTGACGCGACGGCAAAACGTTTTCTTGTCTGTTCATTCGTGTCTAGACACGTACAACTACAAAACTACCTCTGGAAGCTCGCAGTACAACTTCAGTGTCCTGGCGAAAATTGTGAAGCACATGAAAGTAAGTTTTGGTGGATACCTCCAAGTAAGCACCGATGACACTGCCTGATATGGTGGCAGGCGTCAACGTTTTTTTTTTTTAAACAGCACTGTCTTTCTTTTTTTTTCTAACACACACACGTTTTTTGCGATGCGCTGACAACCGCTAACCCCTTAACTGCTTTCTTTGTAATTCTGGTCAAAAAGTGCCTATTTTTTTATTGCTGATTTTGATTCTGATTGCACTGAAGAGTAGCTAGTCGATGTTGAAGAAATATTTTCACCACATACTTGGTCAAATCAACGAACTAAAGTTTATTTCTGAACAATACGTAGGAAACCAGCTACCTGCTGGTAGTAAAATTAAAAACCCTGTAAGCAAAACAGTTACAGACGCCACATCTCTCTTCACTTGTGTAGGCTAAGCACCCTTGAGGTACTTCACTCGGGAAGCTATGGAGCTGTGTGGAAAATTTCAAAACGTGGAATAACGCAAAGCGGCTTCACTGGTGGGCACACGCAATGTTCGCGTCTGGGCTGTCTTCATCATCAATGGATGAGCTACTCGTTCACCTTCGTAGCTGTCTTCAGTTCCGGACACAAGATAAATATCTGTACTCGAATCATCATCACTCAAAGAAGATGACAAAAACGAATACCTTCTTTTTCATGTTCATGGGCTGGCAGCTATGCGTGGGTTGCCGCCACTGCACGCTGTCTTTCCATCTGAAAACCACACTCCTGCGGCAAAAGAAAACAAATTCCTTGAGCAAATTCTCCGAGCTAGTGGATGACACGCAATGTTACTCGTAAATACTCGCTTCTCTACCTGAGCACCATAGGGGAGTACCTATTCTTCTAGGACGAGTTCTATGTTGTAGGCCTGTGTTAAAGAACACCAGGTGGTCGAAATTTCTGGAGCCCTCCACTATGGCGTCTCTCATAATCATTTGGCGGTTTTGGGACGTTAAACCCCACATATCAATCAGGTTGAGTTGTACTTGTCCATAGTAGTTTGCCGACAGTTTGAGCAGTAAAGGGGTTAATAACATATGTCAATCAACATGTAAAAAATTGTGCTTCCTACGAAGGAAGTTAGGCCGAGCCACAAAAGATATCAAGCTGCTTGCCTACAAAACGTATGTGCGTCCGAGATTAGAATACGCTAGCGCTGTGTTGAGCCCACACCAAAAGGTATTAAAAAATAAATTAGAACGCATTCAGAGAATGTCAGCTCGCTTCATCTGCTCCAAATATCGAAGAAAGGATTTTGTTACTGAAATGTTAAAAGAATGTAAATTAGAATCGCTAGAATTAAGAAGGCAGAAACAAAGGTTGAAACTTCTTTTTCAGATCCTGCATGCCGGGGTGAAAATAAACAGGGATGATTATTTGAATCATTCTTACAAAAGGTTTCCAAGAACAACATGCACTACACTCATACAACCAATACATGCTCGAACAGATATCTTTCGATTTTCCTTCTTTCCCAATGCTATTAATATGTGGAATGAATTACCGAACGATATGGGGCAAATAGGAACTTTGAGTGATTTTGAGGTTGCTCTTGATAGGCATTTTGTTGAGAATGTATAGTTTGCAGTGTTCATGTATGTGTTTCCTTAGAAATGCTTCATTGGTCATAGAGATCATGTTGTAAATATATTCAGTGAAAAAGCATGTCACTGTGTTTCTCATATAGTTATGCTATATGTTAGAGTTCATCTTACGATTTTTCAAATATTTATTTTTGTGCAACTCAATTCTTCACCCTCCCTGTAACGACCTTCAAGTGAGGGTTAACAGTATGACAAATAAATAAAGGGGCTACTAGTGATGGTCTTGACAGCGGAACATGTTCGTTTCTCATAGATCGCTGTTCTTGTTGTGTCTTTTGAATCTGCTCTTGAATATGGCCACACTTTCTAGTTGAAATTCCTGATTACAGCGTTATGCCTTCTTAGCTAAAGCAATGGGCTCGGGAAAAACAACTATTCAAATTCTTGATATGTTACGTCACACACAGATACTATGGCTTATAGGTCAGATTAGGGCTGTGCACAGGTGATGCAGTTGCGCATCTCTGCTTGCAGCAGCGGCAACGTGATGCAATACACAACAGACAATTCTGAAAGGAATGAAAGAGCAAGTTCACCCTAATTTGATCGGTCCTGTTAGCGAGTGGGCTGGCCGTGATGGTGGGCAGAGTCCATGCATAAAATGGAAGCTCACGCTTCTGTTTACCACATGTTCAAAGAGTTTGAAATGATCGCTGTTGAAAGACGCATGTGCATAGAAAACATTTCGTGAAAATGGCTTTTCAAAAAAGTGTGGGTGGAAGCCACATTGTTGTTCAGTGTTGCTCCGTGTTGTCCAGTGCTTCTGCCCTTTGTGGTTCTTTTCTATGTTGGGAGAAATGTGCAACTTTATGGTGTGTGTTGTTGAAAACAGTAGTCATCCATTCTGCTTGCCTATTATGATGCATGCAGGGCATTTTTATCATCTAGAACAGCACGTGTACAATAAGCTATTGTACACCTATTGTACGGCCTCTGTTTTGTACCTTCTGCTTAACTTGAAGCAAAGTTATGAAAAACAGGGTTTTAAATTTTCAAAGTATCAGCTCGTTAACACACATAATATTGATTGAGTTCTAGACCGAATGGCTGTATCGGGGTGACGTTGTTTGCTACACTATGGATGAACAGACGTCAGTATGGGTGCAGGCCACCTTCGACTGGGCTGTAGTATTGGTGGAATAGGGACAAGTTGCTCAAGCAACAAAACATATAGCTAGGGCTACTCTATTTCAGAGCTATCATTTGCAAACCCAGAAGTTTAACACCAAATCAGTTTATTAAGGACACCTTGTGATTTCACGTCAGTTTTGAAGCAGCACAGTGACAACCTATGTTGTTTTGTTTTGTTTTTTACACACTTCAAGCAAAGGCACTTGGAAGGTGACACACACCCCTTGACGCTTGAAGAGATCCTGGACGAGACGAATCAGCTGGACCTCGGAGCACGGCAAAAGCACTGGCTGGCAACAGAGGTATTTCATGTTTTGACCCAACCGAAAAGCAGTTACAAGGCACACTTCATCGTTTGGTCTTATTTGAACTATATAGTTTATTATAAAAAGAGACAGAAATAATTCGAACTTTGTGTAATTTTTAGAAGCTTGAACCCACAGTCTATACACTGGCAATTACCGTTCTAAGGCTTGTAGGCCGAGTAATGGTGATGAATGCGATGCTTATGAAGACATTGTGGGTATTCTGGTAAACATATAAATAAATACATGCATAGTCTTAGCTGAAGACACTTGCAGGGCATGATCAACCAGGTAAGGTAGCAACAGCACACATCCACTGGATCCACCAACAGCGGCTACCCATTGGTATGACGAAGCAACTGCAATGCTTATGAGGCTTTGTCCACCATTGTTATAATGACTACAACTTGCCAAAAAGTCTGAATTCAGTGACAGATGCCAAACAGCTTATTTAGCATGACCGACACTATTGTAGTGATGAAAGTGCTGCTCCAATCACTCCAAACTGCTTCGAACTGTGTTTTTGCCAGTAACTGCTCCAAACCTGCTCCTGAGTGGAGCTGGGAAACTGAAAACAGTGAACTTCAATTGAGTGACTATCCAGCAAGCCTTAAGGGGAAAAAAAAAAAAAAAACCTGGCTGCATGCTAGCATATGGACAATGCTACATGTACTAACATTGTTAGTATTGTAGTGAAGAAGAGGGGCCTCAGCGGCATTTCTCGGCGCCTCAGGGGCATCGCCATCAGCATAAGCTCGTGCTTGCTGCGCTTGGCTGGACGCTGCTGACTGCTTCGCCTTCTGCGTTCTGCTCTGCAAATAAACCCCGTTACAAGTGGTGGAGGTGCTGGGTAGTGAAGTTAGCTGGCGGCGTAATTTGGTGAACGCATCGTCGCATGCTGGTGACCAGGTGGAAAGGTCCTTGTCGCCGCTAAGAAGGTCCGTAATGGGCGCACATGCGGAAGCAAAGTTTCTAATAAAGCGTCGGAAGTATGACGACAAGCCGACAAAACTTCCAAGTTCTTTTAAGTTCTTTGGCTTCGGAAAATCGGCGACTGCTCGAAGCTTGGCGGGGTCGGGAAGTATGCCGTCCCGCGATACGACGTGGCCAAGAATGGTGAGCTGCCGGGCACCGAAACGACGCTTCTTGAGGTTGAGTTGAAGGCCGGCGTCAGTGAAGCGTGTGAGGACGTGCTCAAGACGATTTAAATGGGTGTCAAAATCGGTGGAAAAGACAACTACGTCATCGAAGTAGCATAAACATGTGTTCCACTTGAGGCCTCGTAAAATAGTGTCCATCATTCTTTCAAAAATGGCTGGAGCGTTACAAAGGCCGAAAGGCATAACGGTAAATTCATATAATCCATCAGGTGTGACAAATACTGTTTTCGGTCGGTCAGATGCTTCCATAGGTACTTTCCAGTATCCAGACCGCAAATCCAGCGAAGAGAAGTATTCTGTTCCCTGCAAACAGTCAAGGGCGTCGTCTATTCGCGGTAACAGGTAAACGTCCTTACGGGTGATCTTGTTTAAACTTCGATAGTTGACACAGAACCGAATGGAGCCGTCCTTCTTTTTAACAAGAACGACCGGTGATGCCCAGGGACTGTTAGAAGGCTGTACAATACCCCGCTGGAGCATGTCAGCAACCTGGTCGTCAATAAAACGGCGCTCCGGCCCTGAGACTCGGTATGGGCGCTGCCGTAGAGGCGTATGGCTTCCTGTGTCAATCTTGTGAGATATGTTCAATGCGCGACTGAGGCCAGAAGCGTGGCTGTCAATAGAAGTACGAAGCTTTTGCAGCAGGCTCACCAATTGGCTTCGTTCTGAAGAAGACGTTGCGACATCGATGGAGCGGTGGAAAGCATCAAGGAGTGACTGGTCAACAACAGAGTCAGAAATGAGTGCGCTGAGGTCTGTAGAAAGCAAACTAGATGGAGCGTCAAAAATGTGACTGGTGTCGATCGGATGCACGTGACCGAAACATTCACCATAGAATAAAGGTAAAGGCCCTTCTAGCGTATTGTACACGAGCGTCTTCGTGATACCATGGTGGAGAGTAAGGAGAGCAACGGGCAGTAGAGAACATTTGCGTTGAATGAACAGGGCAGAGGGCATAAATAGAACATCGCCGTCGGAAATAGCGTCACACGACACAGTCACCAGCATAGAAGAGCGCGGTGGTACGGTGGTGTCGTCGGAAACAGACAGTTTATAATACGGCAGGGAGGCTTCGACGGCATCAACAACAGGAAGTGCAGATAGCTCAAGTTCAGCGCGACAGCAGTCAATGATGGCATTATTATTCGCAAGGAAGTCCCAGCCGAGTATCATGTCATGGGAACACGAGGGCAGCACTACGAATTCGACGATATACACAATCTCTTCGATGACGACTCGTGTGGTACAGGCTGCGAGGTGTTACACTTTGTGTGTTAGCCATTCTAAGAGAGAGGCCGGATAATGGCGTCAAAACTTTGCGGAGTTTGCGGCACAGGTTGATGGAAAGGACGGATAGAGCAGCTCCGGTCTCGACAAGCGCCATGACGACGATACCATCGACTGACACTTCAATGACGTTAGCTGGACAGGGGCGAGGACTTGTACATGGCGACGGGCACTTCAATGACGTTAGCTGGACAGGGGCGAGGACTTGTACATGGCGACGGGGATGCAGTTCGTGCCTCGGGAACTGCGGCCGTTAGTTTTCCTGGTCGGTGGATCCGGAACGGTGACGCATAGGGGAAAGCGAACGTCGACGTAGAGATGGGGAGCGGCGGGTGGGACCGTGTGGACGATCAGAAGGAAAGGAAGAGGAAGGAGGGCTTGAAGGCGTAGAAGAAAACTGAGGGTCGAAAGAGGGCATTCGTCGAATGTTCTGAGCAGCCTGGCGACGACGACAATAACGTGCCACGTGGCCAACACCGCCACAAGCAAAACATATCGGACGGTTGTCGTGGGTCCGCCATTGATCGGAGTAGCCTCCGACTTGCAGCCGGGGGGCAGAAAACTGCGGCCGAGGTGGTATCGGCATAGGCAACGGTGAATAGGTCGGCGGCGAAAAGGGCGGCGGCGAATAGATAGGCGCTGGCTGGAACGCAGGCTGTTGAGGTCGAGCAACGGCCTCGGCGTACATGAGAGGTGCGGCGACTGGCGGCGGTTCACGGGCGGGAGGAAGAACTTGTGCGACCTGGTCTTGAATGAAGTCGCGGAGTGTAGACGGCAATCTGCGTGGTTGATCGGGTATGCAGGACATCAAAGAGAGCTGACGAGCGACCTCAGCGCGGATGAACTCTTGGATCTTGGAGAGAAGAGGGGCATGGTCTTCTCCTATGCCAAGGGTGGACAGGCTGGACAAAGAGTCGAGCGCCGAGGGACGTCGGGTGGAAAGAGGTTGCCTGCGTAACTCGTCAAAACTCTGGGATAACTCGGTCAGTTCTAGGACAGTGCGAGGACTCTTAGAAAGCAACATTTGGAAAGCGTCGTCCTCAATGCCCTTTCATGATGTGCTTGATCTTAAGCTCTTCGGACATCGACTCGTTGACTCGCTTGCAAAGATCCAGAACGTCCTCAATATAGCTTGTGAAATTCTCGCCAAGCTGCTGGGACCGAGTATGCAAGCGTGGTTCGGCACGGCGTTTGCGTACCTCCGGCCGTCCAAAAACTTGTGTGAGGCTCGTTTTGAAGACCGACCATGTAGGGAGTTCCGCTTCGTGGTTTATAAACCACAGCTTGGCCACGTCCGACAGGTAGAAGGAGACGTAGGCTAACTTGGCGGCGTCATCCCATTTGTTGTGAGTACTCACTCGTTCGTACATTGAAATCTTGTGAGTACTCACTCGTTCGTACATTGAAATCCAGTCGTCAGCGTCCTTGTCTTCTGTGCCTGAGAAAACAGGGGGATCTCGCAGACGCAGAGAACCGGCGCAGAGAATAGTAGGCAGTGCCTGTGGAGGAGTTGGAGCGGCGCTTGCGTCGGTAGGCATAATGGATGGTAAAATGCGATTTCGAAGCTCCAGGGTGATCGAAACCCAGCAGACTCCACCACTTGTAACGGTGGTGTCTGCTCAATATATATATATATATATATATATATTTATATAGTGAGCGCACTCACCGACTTTTCTTTATCAATTGGACGTGTCATCATTATTTATATAATTTCCTCATCTGTAGATACCATCATCAGTGTGTGCCAGCTCGAGCTAGTCTCGAATTAAGCTCTTCCTCATTATATATATATGTGTGTGACGCTATGATGACTGGGAGACGTGGCCTGGCTCATACGCCATGTTTATTCCATAAGCACTTCTTCCTCATCTACTTCTCCTAACCATCCCTGCCTTCTTACGTCACAGGATTCACCCTCCCCCTGAAAGATGGCACCGGTTACAAACTACAACAAATTGAAGAAGACAATAAACAAAACAATGGCCAAGTTCACAGTTTCACGTCCCGACGGAGTTTCACAATCTCACTGAATCTTGAAGGCTGAGGGGGCAGTCTGGTGATTTCTATGACGACTGTTGCGTCCTGGATGGCATAACCACACCCTGGAAATCTGAACTGGTGATGACATCGGTTGAGTTTTTGTGAGGAACGGGCAAGGTTGGGAGTGCCTGTAGCATTTGAAGTTTGGATGTCGTCGGGGTTGTATTTTTCATTGTGAATGGTGCCATCCCAGTGCTTCTTGCTTTCGTGCTTTTTGATAGACTGTGATGAAGTGCCTGAGTGCTTGCGGTGTGCAAGCAGTGCTTCCGCGTCTTTCTCGGCGTTTTCTGTGGTGGTGCAGTTGGTGTAATAGCTGAGGCAGGGAGTGTCTCTGGTGACCTTTCTTTGTGCGAAAGTGTCTTACGTCTGAATTGGTCTTTGGTTTCGAGATCTTATTTTTCGATGTTCTTCAATTGGTGAGTACACTTCCGTTGAATTTTGCGTTCTTCGATGCCCTCGTTGCAGTCTCTTTCGTTGTCTCCTGAGTTTGTGTACTTTGCTTTGCTT